ATTTATACCCTGTCATTTATGAATAACAATAGGAAATAGTTTGTACACATTCAGTTAAAGCAGTTATTTTTCTGAATATTTTCAATCTGAGATCGGTTGAATCTGTGGATGTGTAACATAAGGAAACAGATGACTAACTTGTATAGGCACTGTGACTTATAGCAGATTCTTAAGAACTATTTTTTTGATAATTGCAAATTTATTTCTATTGAACAATAATTTCCCTTTTCCTTGGTGCCTAGGAAACCACCATTCCCTTCTCTGCTTTTGAGTTTAAGCAACTTAGATGCCTCATATCAGTGTAATCATGCATTGTTTGTTCTGTGACTGACTTATTTCATGTGGTATAATATCCTCAAAGTTCATCCACATTATTACATATAGTAAAATTTCCTGCATTTTAAAGCCTGGATATTTCATTGTATGCATATACTACATTTTTTTTTCAATTATTTGTTGATCATCATTTAGGTTGGTTCTATAGCTTCATTATTGTGAGTAGTGTTACAATCAACTTGGGAGTGCCTCTTAAAGATCCTGATTTCAAGCCAATCCCCACAAACCAAAGGCCTAATGTTTCCTCTGATATGCAGATGTTAATTCACAATAGTGGGGGTGTGCTACTGAAGAATAGAGTTACTTTAGATTAGGTAGAGAGGAGTAAAGGGAGGGAAGAGAGTATGAGGGTAGGAAGGATAGTAGAATGAATCAGACATTATTTCCCTATGTACGTATCTAACTATAAAACCCCTGGGATTCTACATCATGTATAACCAGAAGAATGAGAAATTATGCTCCATTATATATGATGTATCAAAATATATTCTACTGTCCTGTATAACTAATTAGAATAAATTAAAAGATCCTGATTTAAATTCTTTTGGATAAATAATTGATGGATCCTAAAACATGTAAGCTAGCATCTCATTGTGGTTTTGATTTGCCTTTCCTCGTGGTTAGTGATATTGAACATCTCTTAATACCAATTGGTCATTTGTATTTCTTCTTTAGAGAAACTTCTATTCAAGACTTTTGGCTATTTTTAAAAAATGAACTATTACTCTTATTTTCATTTTACTATTTCATTACAGAGGTCCTTGTGTATTTTAAATATAAATCCCTTATTAGATATATGGTTTGCAAATATTTAGTCCCATTCTAGAGGTTGCCTTTTCACTCTGTTGATTGTTGCCTTTGGTGTACAGAAGCTTTTAGTTAGATGAAGTCCTATTTATCTATTTTTGTTTTTGTTGTCATGTCCAAGAAATCCTTACAAAAAACAATATTATATGCTCCCATGAATTCTTTTTGGAATTCTACAATTCCATGTCTTACATTTAAATCTTTAATATATTTTTAATTGATATTTTTGTATAATATATTGATATTTGTGTATAATATAAAATAAGCATCTAATTTAGTTTTTCTGGATATAGATATTCAGTATTTTTGTATATAGATATTCAACACATCCAATGCCATGTGTTGAAGAAATTATTATTTCCCCTTTGTGTATTCCTCACAACCTTCTCAAATATACATAGATTTATTTTGGGACTCTCTGCTCTGTTCTACTGATCTATACGTATATTTTTAAAAATGTCAGTAACATTCTGTATATATATATATATACAATATATATATATTTGTAATTTATTTTGAAATAAGGTGGTGGTGTGATGCTCCCATCTTTGTCATTCTTAATCAAAATTGTTTTGGCTATTTGGGATCATTTTTAGTTTCATATAAACTTTCAGAATTTCAGTCTATTCCTGTAAAAAAGGTGACAGATTTTGAATAGGATTGTTTTGAATCTTTAAATAGTATGATCATTTTGATGATATTAAATTTTTCAATTCATGAACATGGTATATCTTTACATTTATTTGTGCCATCTTTAACTTGAATCATCACACTTTATAATTTCCAGTAAATAAGTATTTAAATTGTAAGTATAAGTTGAACCTTGGTTAAACTGTTCCTAAATATTTTATTCTTTCCCATGTATTGTAAATGTAATTCCTCCATTAATTTTCTTTTCAGTTTGTTCATAGTTAGTGTATAGAAAGGCAACAATTTTTGTGTTACTTTTGTTTTGTAAAATTTTTAACAAGCTTATTTATTTATTATAATAGGTTTTTGTGGAGTCTTCAAGATGTTCTACATACAAAATTTATGTCATCTGCAAATTTTTATTTCAGATATTTTATTTTTCTTTTCCAATTTGAATACTATTTTTTCTTTTGTTTTTTTAGGCTAATTGCTCTGTTTAGGTCTTTTAGTACTATGTTGAGAGTGGGCATCTTTGCCTTGCTCCTGATCTTAGAAAAACAAACAAGCAAACAAACAAAAACAAATATTTTGTTGGCCTTAGTCTTCAATATAGTGAGGTAAATTCCTTCTGTTTCTAGTTTGTTGAAAGTTTTTGCATAGAAGTATTCAATTTTGTTAAATACTTTTTCTCCATCTATTGCTATAACCTATATTTTTATCCTTTATTTTGTTAATGTAGAGTATCTATTATTTGATTTTTGTATGTTCAACAATTCTCACATCCCAGAGATAAATCCCACTTGGTTGTGCTATATTATCATTTCACTAAATTATTGAATTTTGTTCATTATTTTTGCATCTTTATTTACCAGGAATATTAGACAAGAAGTTTTCTTTAATTGCAGTATCTTTGTCTTTGGCATTAGGGTAATGCAAGCCTCACGTTATTTGTTTGGAAGTGCTCCCTTCTTTTCACTTTAATGAAGTATTTCAGAAGAATTAACTTTAATTTTTCTTCAAATATTTGGTGGAATTTACCAGTGAATTAAGTAAATATGTATACTACCACTTTTATTTTTTTATTTTTAAAAATTTTTTTATTAGTTGCTCAAAACATTACAATGATCTTGATATATTCATTTTTAAAGGGAAGGGACAAGAAGTATTTTGAAAAAAGAGGAAAAAAATATTTGGAGTCAAAAATGAAGAAAAGCTGGGTGTGTTGGTGTGCATCTGTAGTCCTATCTATTTGTTTGGGAGCTTGAGGCAGGAGGATCACTTGAGCCTAGGAATTTGAGCCTAGGAGTCTGGGCAGCATAGTAAGATCCCCACTCCCCATCTCGGAAACAAACAAAGCAAACAAAAAACCAGTAGAAGGACATGGATAATCTGAATTGGAAGTTATCTCTAGGCTGACTGAATTTCTCTAAAATTATTCTAGTTGTATCACTCTCTTGTGATTCCTATTCTTTATTCTAAGACTGTGGCAGTAATATGCACATAGTAGTTATAACTCATCCACTTGTGTTGGCTTTGTAACCTCTCATATTTACATGGTTTTAAAAGTCATGGTATGATACTAAACTCAAAGTCATCTAGTTATCCAAATAAATAAAAACTGGAACTCTAAGAAATAATAATATGTTGAGACCCATATTCACATATTTGAATAAAAGACCCACAAAAGAAATGAAAATTTAGATACATTTATTTAAACAATTTATTTAGACAATTAATTGTGGGGTTGTGGTCTCAGATGTGTGACACTAGTTATTAAAAAGTAAGAATAAACTTTGTTGTGAAAAAGATAACTTTCTGATATTGCTCATTGAATCATCAATTTGTATGTTCAGGTGAAGAAGAAGAAGAAAAGCTACCTAGAAGAGAGAGTTTGAGACCAAAGAGGAAACGGACCAGAGATGTTATCAATGAGGATGACCCAATACCTGAACCAGAGGATGAAGAAACAAGGAAGGCAAGAGAAAAAGAAAGAAGGAGGAGGTTGAAAAGAGGAGCGTAAGTTAGTCCTGATATATAACTGAAAGCATTAGTGATTCAAAAGCACCTGACACTGAAGGACACTGACACTCCTTTTAGGTAGTCTTAAAGCTGGTAATTAAAGCTAATTTTAGAAAGACAGGCTTAAACTGATCCTGCCATTTTATTTCACTTAATCAAACAGATTTTAATAATTGAAATAAATTTGAAAATGAAGATATACTAAAAATGGACTATGAGAAATTACCTTATGAAAGATTCAAGTTGTTATAGGTCATTAGAACTTATAGATAATTTAAATATTTGAAAATTATCCCATTAATTGTATACATTGTTATCTAAGTTAAGTAGAAAACTCTAAGGAGTGAGTCAAATAACTTTACCTTATAGAGAAGGAGTTGCATACTATAGCTAAATGTAGTCTAAAAGCTAAGAATGGTTTTTTTTTATAGTTTTAAAGGCATAATTATTAATAATAATAAAGCAGAAAAGAATATGGGACAGAATTATATGTATCAGTCAAAGCATAACATATTAACAACTTGGATATTGACAGAAAGAAATTGTGTTGGTCTGTTATAGAGGATTGGTG